CACGTGTAGGCGAATCTTCCGCTGCAAGTGGCAAGAGAGGTGCCACATGGCATTTTCGTAGAGGTGATGAAGTTCGTGGCCGAAACTCACATTCGCGCCTCAGACAATGATGTTAAAATGAAAATCAAAACACCCACATTGTCTAATCAAATAAACACTAACACTAAAATATACCATATGTATAGACACGTGTATTATGTATTTTTTTCCTATGAGGAGACCCCCCCCATTTTTTCCCTGTATTTTTAGCTATACCCTACGGTGTTATGTCCGGGAGAATACGGTATCAGCATTGTTGGCTCGAGTGGCCACGTGAGCAAGACAAAGCTGACCACGCTGCTGCAACTCTCGAGCCAGGAAGTAACGCAGAGCGATGTGCTTCGTTCTGTGCTCCAGTCTGTGCTCCTGACACAAGGCAATGGCGGCTTTGTTGTCTACGTACAGAACTGGAGGAGAACGATGCCGCTCTCCCAAGTCAGTCAGCAGGTAGGTGAGCCAGCGTAACTCCTGTGCAGCCATGGCTGTGGCGTAGATCTCAGCCTCACAACTCGAGCTGAGAACAGAAGACGAGCGGGTAGACCGCGAAGAAACAGAGCCGCAGCCAAGGCTGAAAATGTAACCCTGTGACGACGGCTGCGTAGCCTGGTCGTCAACCCAAGAAGCGTCTGAGTGTCCAGTGAGGACAACTGAGCTCCGCCCTCCAAGCACGAGCCCCATGCCCGATGGACTGCACAAGTAGCGCAGTACCCTCTTAGCAGCATCCATGTCCACCTTTCGGTGTCTACCAGGAGCCACGTAGCGGGCCAAAAGGCCAAGAGGGTACGCAAGGTCAGGACGAGTGCAGGTCATCAGGTACATGAGGCAGCCCACTAGCTCTGGGTACGAGCCACTCGGCTCTACGGACTTTTCCGAAGGTGGAGCTGAGAGCGAGTGACCTGTAGCCAGAGGAGTGGACTGTGGCGAGGACCAAGTGAAGCCGAAGTGCTGAAGGACCTGCTGCACCATGTGTGACTGAGTCAGAGTGATGGTGCGGCATGCTCTGTCCCGGGTGATCTGCAAGCCAAGGTAACTGCGCAGCTCACCCAGGTCAGTGCACGTGTGTCTCTTCTGCAGCTCCGACTTCACAAGGGCAAGAGCCTCAGTGTCAGCAGTGGCAAAGACCAAGTCGTCGACGTACACGAGGATGTAGAACGGCGGCAGTGAAGTGTCGGTGCGTAGAAACATCGACGGGTCAGCAGTGGAAGGTGCAAACCCAAGAGCCGCAAGTGTCGTCCTCAGTGTGTCGTGCCACTCACGAGGCACCTGACGGAGACCGTAGAGTGGCCGACGGAGGCTCCACTGGGTACCTGCAGGAAACGATCCAGTGAAACCAGGTGGGCGGCACACCCAGATCTCCGCGTGCAGACTACCCTGTAAGAACGCTGTGTTGAAGTCCAGAGAGTGAAGAGCGAGGAAAAGCGGCGGGGGATGGAGAGGGGCAGTGCGGTAGGGGAAGAGACGGTAGAAAGGAACCGACTCGTCAAAGGTGACGTCCTGAGAGGGGAAGACACGGCGCGAGGTGGGGTGGTAAAACTGCCAGCCAGGCGCGTCAGGGACAAAGCCAAAGAAGACACAGGGAATGGTGCGGGAGGAGAGCTTGTCCACGGACGTATCGCGGACAAGGGCACGAGCACCCGAGACCCGGAAACGCGACGCATCGCCAACCTCCCCCGTCCAACGCAGTGTGGGCGAGGTCTCCGGCAAGGAGACACGGGGCCAGATGTTGAGCTGCTGCGCGGCGTACCGGACCGCAAACGGCCACAGAAAATGGGGAGCCGCCGCATGAATCAAGGAGGTACAAGCGACCTCCACGACTAAGCCAATGCGGCGCTCAGCAACCCCATTTTGCTGTGGTGAGCCCGGAAGCGTGAACGACTGCTCAATTCCCTCCCCCTGAAAGTTCGTCCGCAAGAGGTCGGAGGTGAACTCACCACCTCTGTCAGAGTGCAGACGCAGGACAGGAAGGTCCTGGCGGAACCTACGGCGGAGCCGGAGACGAACTGCTCAGGATCCAAGGGATCAGGACAGCAGGGACCTCACCCTTGGTGCGCAAGGGGAAGACCGTGGTGTACCGCACATAGTCGTCGACAACCAGCAGAGAGTACCGCTCACCACCCTGTCCACGAATGCGGGCTAGGCCCCACACGTCCAGATGGAGGGTCTGCAGAGGAGCCTCTGTCGGGGGAAACGAGGAGGAGTGAGGAGCGGCGCGCTGCCGCCCCTCGACGCAAGGAAGGCAGGGCGGCGCAGGTGAGGCAGGGAGGGGAGGGAGAGACCTGGGAAGACCAGACACAAGGAGGCGACGGTGCATGCCACGTAGACGTCGCAGGGAGGGGTGGCCCAGGCGGTGGTGCCAGAGAAGAGTCTGGTGCGACAGGGAGCGACACTCACAAGGGGAGGCTACCTGACCTGACGCAGAAACGTGACCAGTAGCAGCTACCCGAGGAGGCGCAGTCGTCCGTGTGTAAAGACTCGACCCTGGCCGACGGGTAAACGTGGCCAGGTGGCGGCCGGTCTGGGAGCACGTACAGATCGCCACACGCTGTCCTCCAGGGGTAAAGGTGTCAACCCACTGGTCCTGGAGAACTGCGTTGCTCACCAAATTCGTAGAGAACGAGGGGAGGTGGAAGCCTGTCAGTGAGCCAGACGGAACCTCCGGGCACGGAAGCACAGTGGTGGACCGTGCAAGAACTGGGCCCCCTGAGGGGTCAGCCAGAGAGACTGCAACAGGTGCAGGGAGTGGTGTGAGGGCAGTACTGTAACGGAAGAAGCAGCGGGAAGCACCTGAGTCAAGCGTGAAGGTGTGCAAGGCCCCAGCAGGCGCAGTACCTGAGGAAGCAGACTCGCTAGCACCTAAGGCAGCAGCCTCACTAGCACCTAGAGCAGCAACCTCTATACCGGGGTCGTACTGCACACACAGATGACAGTCACTCTCAGCACCACCAGGCAAAGCAGACATCGCAGTAAGGATGGCGTCATTGTCTAAAGCAAAGACAACAACGCCCGACCTAAGCAGCTCAAGCCAGGGGGGGATCTCGGCCTCGTCGCCAAACTTTGTGCGCCAGGCGTCAGTCAAATAGGCGAAGCAGCGGGATTGTGCGTGACCAGGTGTCCCACAAGTCTCACCAGCTCGACGACCTGTGCGAATGACGTACGGGCAGCGACCCGGACTCGGAGACGGCCCACGCTGGTAAAGCCACTCACGAAGCTGCCGGGGCGTAAGGGTCGGACGCCGCCGTAGCTGCATCTGGCCACCGCCAGACACTCTGCACCAAAGAGCGCCACAGTGACTGCTACTACGGCCGCCACCACTCCCACTGCTGCCACCACCGCCGTCACCACTCCCACCGGTACGACAAAGGGAAGTCATGGCGGGCAAGCTAGGAGGAGCGCGACCTCTAGGGCAGTACGGAGTGAAGGCAGTAGCACAAGTAGCAGCAGCAGCAGTAAGAGCAGCAGGGCGGCGCACGGCCAGAGCAAGGCGGCGTGCAGCCACAGCAGGGCAGTAGCAGGCAGCAGCAGGTAGTAGCTCCTAGGGCAAAAGCACCTAGGGCCTTTTTTTTATAATTATTATTTTATTTTTATTTAGGGTTTAACAGGGCGCTGGCGCAGGGCAGGGCGCTGGCGCAGGGCAGGGCGCGGGCGCAGGGCAGGGCGCTGGCGCAGGGCAGGGCAGGGCGCTGGCGCAGGGTAGGGCGCTGGCGCAGGCTGCAGCAGTGCGTGACGCGAGGGGCAGCAGAGCGCGACGCGACGGGCTGCCTTAGGGCGCGACGCGCGGGCTGCAGCAGAGCGCGACGCGCGAGGCAGCAGTGCGCGACTTGTGGGCTGCCGTAGGGCGCGACGCGCGGGGCAGCAGCGCGCGACACGCGGGCTGCTGTAGGGCGCGACGCGCAGGGCCGCAGCGCTGGCGCAGGGCAGGGCAGGGCGCCGGTTCAGGGCAGGGCGCTGGCGCAGGGCAGGGCGCTGGCGCAGGGCAGGGCGCTGCGCAGGGCAGGGCGCCGGCGCAGGGCAGGGCGCAGGCGCAGGGCAGGGCGCTGGCGCAGGGCAGGGCGCCGGCGCAGGGCAGGGCGTGCGCGACTCGGGGCAAGGCAGGGCGTGCGCGGGGCAGCGCGACGTAGGGTAGTGGGGTAACGCGGTAACCGCAGTCGGAAGCTAAGCATGGTGGGCCCGGAAAAAAAACGGTCCTACGGACCTACTGCTCTGAAACCATGTCAAGATAGCAAGCAGGAATGATTGCATTGAATGAAATGTGGGTACAAGTACTAACCCTAACTTCGGGTTGTACCCCATATGGGCTACCCCACTATAGCCTACACAGAACTAACACATATATAGTTTGACAGGTAACGTTAACCACAACATAGATGTCAGTGGGTTTTTGGAACACCCCAGCGTCAACTAACGCCTTGATAGAACCGACTGGCTCCAAAGGCTGAATTTTACCGAGCTGAACCGATGCGTTTATGGTGCAGTTCCAGTTGCCAGTTGTTGCTTCCGCTTGAAAGGTGCACGGGAACTGGGCCACTAGGGACCCAGTGCTGTTCCTGTAGTAGCCGGGAGGGGAGAACGATGCGGCGGTCGCCCCTTTGGCGCCCGTAACGCGGACGACCAACGAGGTGGTTTGGGTAGTGACCGTGCTGCAATTAGAGAGGGGAGAAGGGAGATGGGAGAGAGGGAGAGGGAGGGGCGAGGGTTGGAAGGCAGAGGTTGGGGTGACAGGCTGATGAGAGGTCACTCCAGGACGGGGTGCTGGTGAAATCCAAAGGATCCAGGCTCCTCCCATAAATACACCCTCGCTTCTTCTAGTGCGGCGCCTCTTTTTGCATATGATTCACCGTGCTAACGTGGATTAGATAGGCGAATCAGTCGTGATATACGTGAGTGAAGTAACCGGGCGGGTTCCACAAGCCGTCAAACGTTATGAGAACACCAAAGAGCTCTCAACGGAGTTTGATGCTTACACGGAAGAATTTAGGTTGCACGAGCCAGTCAAACCACCCGTTTTCGAAGAAAGAGTCGATGAGGCTTGGTCTGCACAGCGCGAAGATGCATAAGAAGGTAGAGGGACAAAAAGCCAGAGGAAAGGCGAACGAATAATGATACATATTCTTTATCACTATCGGATAAGCGAAGAGCATCGTGATGAGCGTGTGCAAATCAGATCTCAGCCTGAGATGTATTTGCCTGTCATACTTGAGAGAGAGAGAGAGAGAGAGAGAGAGAGAGAGAGAGAGAGAGAGAGAGAGAGAGAGAGAGAGAGAGAGAGAGAGAGAGAGAGAGAGAGAGAGCTGGTTTGGAACATACATTTCCATAAGGAAATAACGACGTCTTCGTAGACAAGCTCCAGGCTCTTTGGAGTCGGACGGAACGCTGCGATGGCGCTGCAGGTGAGAGAGAGCAGCACTGCACAAAAGGAGAGAGAAGTGGCGAAAAGAAAAGACAAAGTTGTTACTATGGATGTTAGCAGGACCAACGGCGGTCAAATCACGTATCCGGCGATACGTACCAGCGAGGATGAACGCAGATTGCAGTGAAGTGTGGGCCATGATGGCTGCTGGGAAGTGATTCTACTATGGTAGTAGAGCGACTGTCCTTCTAGTAGGGAAAGGAGGGTCTCAATCGGAGTGAAACGAATGAGATTATCTCCGAGAAACAAGGCGTTTTATAATGTTTAGGGCTGTATTCCGTCACACGTAGTACGCCAGTGGCATGACTCGGCGTGTGCCAGCAAGGATGCTGGTGTTGTTTTGCTTGTCATTTTTTTTCTCCTGAATTCTTCCCACTTCTCCGTCGCATGTGCCCATGGCAGACCATATTGAAGAGCTCAGGAGAAACTAGGTAAAACATTGCCGCCGCAAATCACGCTAGGCCAAACTGAGCAGCCCCGCACAATCGCGTGTAAACCTTATAAGTCCAAAAGGACAAAGTGAAGAGCGTACAACCGTACTAAACCACCCTTCTCAAACAATCTGAGAGTCACTAGCACCCTGGCGGGGATGCGGGTTTCAGATGCCGTGTCTTGCGCAAAACCATCTGAGTGTTACCTTTTGCAATGAAACAAAGTTCGTCTTTCGCTGTGCGACACAACAAAGTTTCGCAGCTCAACAACCGTACACGAAGACAAATATCAAACTAGTTACAGCAACAGCGGTTTGTGTATACTAGATAAGGACACGTCACAATTCAAACACCGATCCTGCAAGGGATCGATGTGTGAATCTACAGTTGCTTCCTGATTTTGTGAATGGTAGGGTACCTTTGTTTCACTAGAACTTGCGTAAACTCAGGTCACATCACATCGAGATTGTCCAATATTGAGCCGCCACCGAACCGAAATACTGCTACAAGAATTTACAAAGCTCAGAAACGTTAAAAACTCCGCCAAAATTGGAACCTCCAGGGAGATCGTGTCCTCCCGGGTTGAAACCTGAATTTGGCGATCGATGCTGACGATTTCGGTGTGTGGTCTCGATCCTCATCCCGTGTTGCAATTGTGACGCATCCTAAGAGCGTGTTCCTACACCTCGTATCAAGAGAACCTAGAGTCAGGCTCACTCTGAACTGAAAACTCCCCTAAACCTAGAATTTCTTGCTAGTTTTACCAGGCAAAAAGTATATTTTTGATACGAGCAGTGATGGTCTGTGATAAATTACGACTACGGAGCACTATATTTTACTGAGCCCTACACATGCATATGTTAGCGCACGAGTGATCATGTATTGGCGAGGCATCGCCAGACGGCGTGAGAGAGGTGGGTGTCGTGGAGGGGTTTGGAGAGGTAGTCATCCATGCCGACGGCAAAGCAGTGGTGGCGCGTGCCGGCAATCACATCCGCTGTGAGCGCAATGATGGCCACATGCCCCCCGCCCTGAGCCCTCTCCCGCGCTCGGATCCTGCGAGTCGCCTCCAGCCCATCCATGCCCGGCATCTGGGAAGTGGGGGGAAAGAGGTAAAGATCGAGACATGGTGTGTTAGATGCTGAGAGTCGCCTCCAGCCCATCCATGCCCAGCATCTGGGAAGTGAGGGGAAAGAGGTAACGATCGAGACATGGTGTGATAGATGCTGCGAGTCGCCTCCAACCCATCCATGCCCGGCATCTGGGGGGCGTAGAGGGGCAGGGGGTGGAAAGGGGAAGGTTTAAGGTCACATGGAATGTCACATGCTCCGACTTGCCTCCAGCCTATCCATTCCTGGCATCTTCACGGCGGAGTGTGGATGTTGAGAGATTAAGATGAAGCCGTGATGGTCACATATCCCCACCTCCCACACATCTCCCCACCTCCCACACATCTCTCCCTCGCCCCCTGGGCTCACCTGGAGGTCCATGAGGACAAGCTCGAAGGGGTGGGGCGGGGCGAGGGCTTGGAGGGCCTTCATGCCGCCATCGACGGCGGTGACTCGCGCGCCGTGCCTCTCCAGCAGCTTGCTGGCCACCTTGCGGTTCACCACGTTGTCATCCACCACCATCACCCGCCGACCCACCAGCACGCTCAGCCCCTCCCCTACCGACGCCGGCTCACGTGCCGCTGCTGCTACTGGGGCTGCCACTGCATCGGCTGGCGGTGCTGCTGGCAGTGCTGCCAAGGTTGGTGAGAGTGATGGCGATGGTGTGCGTGTAAGGGCAGGGGATAGAGTCCCAAGCGAGGAACAAGAAGTGGGGGGAGAGAACCCTGCAAAGTCCAGCACACTCTCAAAACCACTCACCCTGCCACCACCACCAGCACCAGCCGCAGCAGCACCATCATCGCCACCAGCCCCACTGATGCTCGTGCTACTATCCGCTCTATTCCTCTCTCTCTGTCTTGCACGGGACTGCCCAGCTGCTCTCCTTTCACCTGCTCAGCCGTGCACCCGTGCCTTTTGAGTCGACTCAAAAGTCACCTGCTGATCCGTGCACCCGTGCCCTCCTTCCACCCGTGCCCTCCTTCCACCCGAACCTGCTTCTTCCCCAGCACTGGTGCCTCTCCCAAGGCCCCTATCTCCTGATGTCAAGCCTGTAAAAGCAGCAGCAGCAGGTGCAACCGGTTTGATCAGGTGTTCGAGGGAAGCAGATCGACTGGCCAATGAGACACTGCTGCCATCCACGCCCTGCTGCTGCTGCTGCTGCTGCTGCCGCCCTCCAAGCGATGTCTCCTCCTCACACACCATCAGCCTATTTCCCGGTAGAGAGACAGCATGGCGTGACGTGTTTTGTGCCGCCCCGGGGCTAGCAGCTTTGCATTTGGCAGCGTCAGAAGCGGGGGTGGTGGGAGTGGTGGGAGTGGTGGGAGAGGTGGGACTGGTGGGACTGGTGGGAGTGTTGGGAGAGTGAGATCGGCGCAACTTAAACAAGTGAGGGGAGTCGAACGACTGAGGGGAAGTGAGGGACTGAGGGGACATGAGTGCCCGTGGCGACGTCACAGCTCGCCAGAGAGCTGCTGCAGCGCTGCTGCCTGCCTTGTGGAGGGCCGATGGGCTCACTAGCTCCAATGCCGCACCACCCCACTGCCCCTGCCTCTCACCCTGCTTTTCATCCTGCCGATCGGTACTGTCACTACAGTCTATAGTGAGAGGGCTGTGGTATGCAGTCGCGGTATCTTTTGAAATCTGCTGCTGCTGCTGCTGCTGCTGCTGGTGAGGGCTGAACCTCACTATACCACTCGTTCCCACTGCACGGCCCGCGTCTCTCGCCCTCATTCCTCCCTGTGCTGCATCGTCATTATTGCCTCCTCCTCCTCCTCCACCCTCCTGCGCACACTCACCTTGCTCCGGGCTCAAAGGGAACAGCGGCAGAATCGCCGCCAGCAGTGCCGGTTTCCGAAGAGGCTTCCTCACAACAGCATCAAAGCCAAGTGACAATAGCGAGGGGATGGACGGGGAGGGTGAGAGGGAGAGTGCAGGTGAGGGCGAGTGGGAGGGCTCAAGCGGCCTACTCCTGCTCCTCCTGCTCCTGCTCTTGCTGCTGCATGGGCAGCCCCTCGTCACATCGTTACAGTCACCCTGCTTACACCCACAATACATCTCCCCCACCCTACCATCAACTCTTTCAGCCTTTCCGCCCCTCTCCCTGCTCTTACTCCTGCTTCTCCTGCTCCCATCCCTGCTCCTGTCCCTCCCATCCCTGCTCCGGTCCCTCCCATCCCTGCCCCTGTCCCTGCTCCTGTCCCTCCCATCCCTGCCCCCGTCCCCGCTCCTGTGCCTGTTCCGCCCTCTGGTCTGATCCCTCCCGTCTCGTGGCGGCTCACAGCTGACCCCCCTGTGGCCGTGCGAGCACGGCTCATGGGAATAATGATCCCCTTTATAAGCGTCCTTCTCGCAACGGCTGAAACTGTCGGTCGCAGTCAGCCCTCCGGCAAGAGAGCTCGGTGAGAGGGAGAGCGAGCCGTGCAGGAGAACAAGAAAGGGGACGGGCCAACTTCCACAGGTACTGCTCTTGCTGCACTCGCTGCCATGCCCCTTCTCCCCCACTGCACACCCGCTCAATCCCTCCCTTGTCATCTCCGCCCCTTCCTCCCTGCCCCCACTTGTGTGTCCTCCCTTGCTCAATTGCTCTCTCTCAATCCTCGGCCCATCTAACCCTGCCATCTCAAATCCCCCCCGGCCCGTCAAGAGAGAATGAATGTGATCTGCTGTGACGCCCAGCCGCTGCATCATCTCCCCCTCCACCACCACCGCCCCCACCCATCCCCCCCTCTCTGCCTCGCTTAAGCTCCTGTAGTGCACTCCCCCTTCTCCAGTCACCTCCTCTCCTTCTTCCTCCTCCTCCTGCTCCTCCTCTTCTCCTTCATCCTCCTCCCCCTCCTCCTCTCCCTGTACATCCTGCCGCTGGCGCAAGAGCGTCAGCTGTCGCTGCTGCCGCTGCTGCCCCTCCTCCCTTCCACCCACGCCCTTCTCGCTGGAAAGGGGAGGGCAGGAAGACTGGCGCGAAAGGGGAGCGGGAGAGAGAGGGGAGCAACGGTCGGAGGAAGCAGAGGGGGTGGAGGCGGAGGGGCGGAAGGCAAAAGGAGCCACAAGAACAGCCGGCGAGCCAAAAGGCTCAAGAGGAGGCTCGAGAGGACATGAGTGGTTGCTGATTGGTCCTGTGTTGGCTTGTGAGCAGGGAAGCCGCTCCTGCTCCTGCTCCTGCTCCTGCTCTTGCTCCTCCGCATGGTGCAAGGAGCGGTGGTGGGCGAGGAGGCGGGGGAGGAGGTGGAAGGAGGGGCAGGGGAGGGTGCAGAGGCCAAGGCGGCGCAGCAGAGAGAGAGTGACGGCATGCCGCACCGCCCGGTCGTCCACACTCACCACGCACACTCCGTCTAACCCACAGGCAGCCCTCCCACCACTCCTACCACTCACCACACACACACCCTCTAACCCACATCTGAATTGATGCCGCTGCTGCTGGTTGCCAGGGCCTTGGAGGGTAACGTTGCAGGAGCTTTCAGGAAGTGGAGAGGGGATGTATGGACGGCCAGAGGGAGTGGCAGAGCGGTTGGTAGTGAGAGTTCCATTGGTTTGAGAAAAGGTTGGAGATGCAGTAAGGAGGGGCGGAGGGAGTAAGAGCAAGGGGGGAGGTGGGACAGGGGCATGAGAAGTGCTGGTTTGGGGAGGAGTGCTGGTGTGGGGAGGATGAGGAGGGGAGGAAGGATGGAGAGGGAGAGGGGGTGTGTGGAGGAGAGGGGGTGTGTGGAGGAGGATATCGAAGAGGAAGGTGGTGCCGACGCCTGGCTTCGAGACAAACGAGATGGATCCGCCCATCAGCGACACCAGGCGCTGCACGGGTTGAGGAGTGGGGACGGAGGGGAGTGGTAGAGGGGATTTAAGTGGGGAAATGAAAGGAGATGAATCCGCCCATCAGCGACACCAGGCGCTGCTCACATGGGCAAGTGGGAAGGGGGGTGGGGGGGGGGGGGGGGGGGGGGGGTGGTTGTGGAGGTAGAGATGATTTGATTGAGAAAATGGAAGGATATGGACAGGAAAAGAAGGATAGCAATGTTGGATTCCCAACAATGCAACGCACCTTGCAGATGGAGAGGCCGATGCCCGTGCCTCCATGCAGCCATGCCGTGCTGCGCTCTGCCTGTGTGTACGGCCGGAAGATGTGCCTCCGAGCGTGCCGGGGGATGCCGGTACCTGGCAGGGATTAAAGGGAAGGTGAACTGAAGGTGAACAAAGTGACGGGTAAATGCCTCTCGTTTCAAAGAGGAACACCTGGTGTTCCTCCGAGCGTAGCGTGACGCAAGATGCCGGTACCTGGTGGTGTGAACGCACATAGGAGCACAGTAGGTGGAGGAATAGGCCTAGAACTGCTTGCTTGCTGGGCCATCTGGGGAGCACATGAAAGCTTCAAGGCATGCGTCACAATGTGATGAGATCACAAGTGCAATCGTCGTACCTGTGTCTTCCACAGCCACCATCAGGCGCACAGGCTGGTCGGGAGGCAGGATCCGAGGGCCACAGCAAGTATCATTCGCCATGCCCATGCCCATGCCCTTGCCCATGCCCATGCCCACGGCAGCAAGGTCCATGTGCTCCCGCATGCCCTCCCACGAGCACCATGTCTTCATGGCTGGCCAGCCACTCAGCGTCACACACGCAGATTCGGTAGACGCCTCTGCAACAGGCCTTCTAGCACTAATGCCCACACCGGAACCTTTTTCAGCACCGAAACCATTTTCATCACACGTGCCATCGTCGTCACAAGTGTCATCATCGCCACCACGAGTGCCATCTACCCCAACAGTTTCTCCATCTTCCCCAGCCGCATCCTTCCCCCTCCCTTTGGTTGTTTGCACTGGTGAAGCAATTGCCACAGGAGTGGTGCCTGGTGGGCGACTCTTTGGAGAGGGGGGGGGATGATGGTGATGGTGATGATGAGTTTGAGCAGGAGGATGTGGAGGATGCAGCTGAAAGAAGCGACGGGGCAGCGCCATCATCGTCGTTGCTGTCGGTGGCGGTTGCGAGGCGCACGGCAATGAAGACATGGCCCTTGGTGGTGAACTTCAAGGCAATGAAGACATGGCCCTTGGTGGTGAACTTCAAGGCGTTGCCGATGAGATTGATGAGTATCTGTTGCATACAGAAAAACAAACAAACAAACAAACAAGCAAGCAAACAAGCAAACAAGCAAGCAAGCAAACAAACAAACAAACAAGCAAGCAAACAAGCAAACAAGCAAGCAAGCAAACAAACAAACAAACAAACAAACAAACAAACAAACAAACAAACAAACAAACAAACAAACAAACAAACAAACAAACAAACAAACAAACAAGCAAACAAGCAAACAAGCGAACAAGCAAACAAGCAAACAAGCAAACAAGCAAACAAGCAAACAAACAAACAAGCAAGCAAACAAACAAACAAACAAACAAACAAACAAACAAACAAACAAACAAACCAACAAACAAAGCACACGCGAACACACACACAGTGTGAGCAAGCAAAGTGCCACAGATGCGACGCATATAGTCATAAAGTGCAAACAACAGTGCAGAGGTATCTGTGCTAAAAATGACAGAGTTTCGGAAGTTCGACCTGGTTTGACTCGAACCGGTTTGCGCTCGGTACTTGCTCATGCTTACTTCTTACAACACACACACCTGCTTCACTCGCAGCGGATCCCCAAGCAGTGTCTCCGGCACGTCGTCAGCCACAAACGCGGCAAGCTCCACCGATCTCTTCTCATCAAAACTCTCCACAAAGAGCGCGAGCACGTCGTCGAGCTCGGCGCGCAGGTTGAGGGGGATGCGCTCGAGGCGGAGCTTCTCGGCCTCGATCTTGGAGAGGTCGAGAATGTCGTTGATCAGCGCACACAGCGCCCGCCCGCTGCTGCACGCCGTCTCCGCGTAGTCCTGCTGGGAGCTGTCCAACGGGGTTTCCAGTAGTAGGTTCAGCATGCCTGGTGGGGGAGAGGGGTGGGTTATGGGGGGGGGAGAGGGTAGTGGAGCAAGGAAGTGGGAGAAGGGGGGCTTGAGCTTGTCTCCGCGTAGTCCTGCTGCGTGCCATCCAGAGGGGTTCCCAGCAGTAGGTTCAGCATGCCTGGTGGGGAGAATGATGTGGGGGGAGCAAAAGGGATATACGAGAGTTGGATCGTCCAGACGGGTCTCTCGCAGAAGTTTCAGCATGCTCAGATGCCAACATGATGTGGTGTGAGGGTGCATGAGACGTGACATTAAAGGAGGAGGTGATTAAGACCGGAAGACACCGAGACAAATATTTTGAGTGCTCAACACTATGCAAAAGCGATTACAAAACTGAATTGATTAAACCTAGGCCTAGCCGTGCATACTCCACTTGAGACTTTCCGAGTGTGACAACATGTCACGCCCTAGCCGAGGGCGTGAAGTTCAAGGGAGCAAGCAAAGCTTGGCGCAGCTTGTAGTGTGAGACTCTGGTCGATCAACATTTCGGCAACACCACGTAACGTTTCCACTCTCGTCAATACGAAGTACTAGAATCTTGGCATGAAAACGAGAAAGCATTGTTGCGTTGAAGCAAATACAATCACACATCTATAGAATCATAAGCAGATAGAAATGGAAACACAAGACGGTTGTTTACCAAAAATCCATAACTTTACCATGATGTGTTAATAAACGGTTGTCCAAATTCTATTGCATTTGTCATGTTTCACCTACTTCAAAAAATCTGTGTTCAGCCTCCATGTTTGACAAATGCCTAAATTGTCGATCATGAATTATCATATAGAGTCATGCCGCTCATGTGAACTTCCCGTTTTCAATAGCAAAACAGATTTTGCCGCTGTTAATTTAAATTCGCTGTTAATAGATTTTGTAACCCTCCCTTGGCGCGACTCACGTGTGATAGGACCCTGTTTGAGGCAGGCAGCTAGTACAGGCCTACAACGTACCAACGTTCAAAAATATGGTTTTCGTGAATTACAATCCGTTTTTTACGGTTGTATTTTACGGTAAATTAATATAAAACTATCGTTGTTACAGAACTCTGATCACCAAGAAAAAAAGGGGAAAAGCTGGCCGAATACATTTTCATTCATGCCCACAAACACACACATGCAAGAAAGGGTCCATCCTCTATATCCTGCTGTTTTTTGCCATCAATTTGGTCCCATAAAACTTCCGTTTTTTTCTAATAAACGGATAATATCTTCTGGAACCGTTTTTTTACTACCGTTTTTACGATTCCGTTTTTTACGGTAAAATTCCGAAAAAACGGTCGTTGTTTTTAACTCTGCAACGTACCAATGACACCATTCATGGGTGTGCGAATCTCGTGCGACGCGGTCGTAAGGAAGTCTCCCTTGGCCCGGCTCGCCGCCTCAGCTTCCACTCGCGCGGTGCGGAGCTCGTGCTGTGCTGCGGCCAGGTGCTGGCAGTCGCACTCAAAGGCGTGCATGAGCTGGATGCTCGTCCAGAGGAGGAAGGTGGAGACTCCCATGAAGGGCACCAGCACCACTATCCAGACGAATGGGCCGAACGGCGGGGAGTATGAGATGTGCCTGTGGTGGGGTCGAGGGCACATGGAAGGGGGGAGCGGAGGGGAAGGGGAGCGGAGGGGAAGGGGAGCGGAGGGGAAGGGGAGGGGAGGGGAAGGGGAGCGGAGGGGAAGGGGAGCGGAGGGGAAGGGGAGCGGCGGGGAAGGGGAGCGGAGGGGAAGGGGAGCGTAGGGGAAGGGGAGCGGAGGGGAAGGGGAGCGGAGGGGAAGGGGAGTGGAGGGGAAGGGGAGGGGAGGGGAAGGGGAGGGGAGGGGAAGGGGAGGGGAGGGGAAGGGGAGCGGAGGGGAAGGGGAGCGGAGGGGAAGGGGAGCGGAGGGGAAGGGGAGCGGAGGGGAAGGGGAGCGGAGGGGAAGGGGAGCGGAGGGGAAGGGGAGCGGAGGGGAAGGGGAGGGGAGGGGAAGGGGAGCGGAGGGGAAGGGGAGCGGAGGGGAAGGGGAGCGGAGGGGAAGGGGAGCGGAGGGGAAGGGCAGCGGAGGGGAAGGGGAGTGGAGGGGAAGGGGAGGGGAGGGGAAGGGGAGGGGAGGGGAAGGGGAGGGGAGGGGAAGGGGAGGGGAGGGGAAGGGGAGGGGAGGGGAAGGGGAGCGGAGGGGAAGGGGAGCGGAGGGGAAGGGGAGGGAGGGAAGGGGAGTGGAGGGGAAGGGGAGCGGAGGGGAAGGGGAGCGGAGGGGAAGGGGAGGGGAGGGGAAGGGGAGCGGAGGGGAAGGGGAGCGGAGGGGAAGGGGAGCGGAGGGGAAGGGGAGCGGAGGGGAAGGGGAGCGGAGGGGAAGGGGAGCGGAGGGGAAGGGGAGCGGAGGGGAAGGGGAGGGGAGGGGAAGGGGAGGGGAGGGGAAGGGGAGGGGAGGGGAAGGGGAGCGGAGGGGAAGGGGAGCGGAGGGGAAGGGGAGCGGAGGGGAAGGGGAGCGGAGGGGAAGGGGAGCGGAGGGGAAGGGGAGCGGAGGGGAAGGGGAGCGGAGGGGAAGGGGAGGGGAGGGGAAGGGGAGGGGAGGGGAAGGGGAGCGGAGGGGAAGGGGAGCGGAGGGGAAGGGGAGGGGAGGGGAAGGAGAGGGGAGGGGAAGGGGAGGGGAGGGGAAGGGGAGCGGAGGGGAAGGGGAGGAGAGGGGAAGGGGAGCGGAGGGGAAGGGGAGGGGAGGGGAAGGGGAGCGGAGGGGAAGGGGAGGGAAAGGGAAGTGGGGGGGGGAAGGGGGGCATGAGGGAAGAGAGCGGTGGGAAGGGAGTATGCATGCCACATCGTACGGATGCGTGTGCTCATCGACTCACTGGCAGTAAAGAAAGACGCTTCTTGCCGGATCACCCAAATGCAGCGCCTGTCGCACTCTCGTCCCCTCATTCTCCTTCGTCATCCACACACCGATTTCCTCTGCACCTACCAACCCCTCATGCTCAAAAAGCAGAGCAGGTAACCACCTACTAGCTGTTGCATCCATATTCTGCCCATCCGCATTGTTTGCACCATCCCACGCCCCTCCCTTGGTCCCATCCACCAGGTAAACCCTCGTATTCAGCTCCTCCAGCTGGTTAAACCCCGCCAGCGACCGCAGATTTGCAAAGTTATACCCCGCCATGACAATACCCCGTGGGAGCACCCGGGGGGTGGCGAGTGGAGGGATGGCGACGGAGGGAGAGGAGGCTGAGGCGGGCAGTGAGAAGGTGGTGAGGTTGTGATAGACTGGGAAGACTTGGCAGATGAAGTGGTAGGGGTAGTTGTCGCGCACGAAGGGAGGAGACAACACAGAGTCGGCTGAATCGATGGCGCGATGGATCATGTCGCTCACTGCTGGGTCTGAGAGGGGCGTCGGGAGGCGGTGGGAGGCAACAGAGAAGGGGGAGAAGAGTATGATAAATTTATTTTATTTCCTTATTACATTATTTATTTACATCAACTTGAGATGTCAGATGTATGAGGAACTGATGAAGGTGACTTTTGGATTGACAGAGATGACAGAGAAGCTAATTCATGGGCCAGTGTATTGTGTCGTTCACCCATGGGTCTGAGTCTGAGAGGAGCGTGTGAGGTGGCAGGGGGAAGAAGGATGTGTGAATGAGGGGAGGGGGGAAAGGGGGGTAGATAGACGCGCATAACGAATCAGGCCTTCTCTTCTGGGCTGGGCGGCTTTTCTTGTTTCTGGACTCGACCCAACCAGGTCGACTCGACCCGACCCGACTTGACCCGACCCGACCCGACTTGACCCGACCCGACCCGACTTGACCCGACCCGACCCGACACGACCCGACCCGACCCGATTGTATGTGCCGACCCGACACTGTTAAGACGGGTCGCATTGGAATGGAACAATCCACAGGCCAATCCGACCCAGGTGGAGTGCACAGCAGTGAGATTCACCCGAGGGCCGAACGTCGATTCCATTGTTGGTTGGTGTTGCAGATCAGCGTGTGATGAGTCGGTTTAACAGTCGACTAAAAAACCGACTCATTGTTGGTGTTGCAGATCAGCAGCAGGGGGGTACAGGGGGGTACAGGGGGGTACAAGGGGGTACAGGGGGGTTGGACATGCAGCCGGCAAGACGAGGCGAATGGCTTGGAAAGCGAAAGGTAGACTTCTGGAATGGTGGAACCCTGTTGGATCACCTGCCATCACGGTGACTCATCATCACCTGCCATCACGGTGACTCATCATCACCTGCCATCACGGTGACTCATCACACACCTGCCATCACGCTGACTCATCATCACCTGCCATCACGCTAACTCATCATCACCTGCCATCACGCTGACTCATCATCACCTGCCATCACGCTGACTCATCATCACCTGCCATCACGCTGACTCATCATCACCTGCCATCACGCTGACTCATCATCACCTGCCATCACGCTGACTCATCATCACCTGCCATCACGCTGACTCATAATCACCTGCCATCACGCTGACTCATCATCACCTGCCATCACGCTGACTCATCATCACCTGCCATCACGCTGACTCATCATCACCTGCCATCATGCTGACTCATCATCACCTGCCATCACGCTGACTCATCATCACCTGCCATCACGCTGACTCATCATCACCTGCCATCACGCTGACTCATCATCACCTGCCATCACGTTGACTCATCATCACCTGCCATCACGCTGACTCATCATCACCTGCCATCACGCTGACTCATCATCACCTGCCATCACGCTGACTCATCATCACCTGCCATCACGCTGACTCATCATCACCTGCCATCACGCTGAATCATCACACACCTGCCATCACGCTGACTCATCATCACCTGCCATCACGCTGACTCATCATCACCTGCCATCACGCTGACTCATCATCACCTGCCATCACGCTGACTCATCATCACCTGCCATCACGCTGACTCATCATCACCTGCCATCACGCTGACTCATCATCACCTGCCATCACGCTGACTCATCATCACCTGCCATCACGCTGACTCGTCATCACCTGCCATCACGCTGACTCATCATCACCTGCCATCACGCTGACTCGTCATCACCTGCCATCACGCTGACTCATCATCACCTGCCATCACGCTGACTCATCATCACCTGCCATCACGCTGACTCATCACACACCTGCCATCACGCTGACTCATCATCACCTGCCATCACGCTGACTCATCATCACCTGCCATCACGCTGACTCATCATCACCTGCCATCACGCTGACTCATCATCACCTGCCATCACGCTGACTCATCACACACCTGCCATCACGCTGACTCATCATCACCTGCCATCACGCTGACTCATCATCACCTGCCATCACGCTGACTCATCATCACCTGCCATCACGCTGACTCATCATCACCTGCCATCACGCTGACTCATCATCACCTGCCATCACGCTGACTCATCATCACCTGCCATCACGCTGACTCATCATCACCTGCCATCACGCTGACTCATCATCACCTGCCATCACGCTGACTCATCATCACCTGCCATCACGCTGACTCATCATCACCTGCCATCACGCTGACTCATCATCACCTGCCATCACGCTGACTCATCATCACCTGCCATCACGCTGACTCATCATCACCTGCCATCACGCTGACTCATCATCACCTGCCATCACGCTGACTCATCATCACCTGCCATCACGCTGACTCATCATCACCTGCCATCACGCTGACTCATCATCACCTGCCATCACGCTGACTCATCATCACCTGCCATCACGCTGACTCATCATCACCTGCCATCACGCTGACTCATCATCACCTGCCATCACGCTGACTCATCATCACCTGCCATCACGCTGACTCATCATCACCTGCCATCACGCTGACTCATCATCACCTGCCATCACGCTGACTCATCATCACCTGCCATCACGCTGACTCATCATCACCTGCCATCACGCTGACTCATCATCACCTGCCATCACGCTGACTCATCACACACCTGCCATCACGCTGACTCATCATCACCTGCCATCACGCTGACTCATCATCACCTGCCATCACGCTGACTCATCATCACCTGCCATCACGGTGACTCATCATCACCTGCCATCATGCTGACTCATCATCACCTGCCATCACGCTGACTCATCATCACCTGCCATCACGCTGACTCATCATCACCTGCCATCACGCTGACTCGTCATCACCTGCCATCACGCTGACTCATCATCACCTGCCATCACGCTGACTCATCATCACCTGCCATCACGCTGACTCATCACACACCTGCCATCACGCTGACTCATCATCATCTGCCATCACGCTGACTCATCATCACCTGCCATCACGCTGACTCATCATCACCTGCCATCACGCTGACTCATCATCACCTGCCATCACGCTGACTCATCATCACCTGCCATCACGCTGACTCATCATCACCTGCCATCACGCTGACTCATCATCACCTGCCATCACGCTGACTCATCATCACCTGCCATCACGCTGACTCATCATCACCTGCCATCACGCTGACTCATCATCACCTGCCATCACGCTGACTCATCATCACCTGCCATCACGCTGACTCATCACACACCTGCCATCACGCTGACTCATCACACACCTGCCATCACGCTGACTCATCATCACCTGCCATCACGCTGACTCATCATCACCTGCCATCACGCTGACTCGTCATCACCTGCCATTTCGCTGACTCATCATCACCTGCCATCACGCTGACTCATCATCACCTGCCATCACGCTGACTCATCATCACCTGCCATCACGCTGACTCATCATCACCTGCCATCACGCTGACTCATCATCACCTGCCATCACGCTGACTCATCATCACCTGCCATCACGCTGACTCATCATCACCTGCCATCACGCTGACTCATCATCACCTGCCATCACGCTGACTCATCATCACCTGACATCACGCTGACTCATCATCACCTGCCATCACGCTGACTCATCATCACCTGCCATCACGCTGACTCATCACACACCTGCCATCACGCTGACTCATCACACACCTGCCATCACGCTGACTCATCATCACCTGCCATCACGCTGACTCATCATCACCTGCCATCACGCTGACTCATCATCACCTGCCATCACGCTGACTCATCATCACCTGCCATCACGCTGACTCATCACACACCTGCCATCACGCTGACTCATCACACACCTGCCATCACGCTGACTCATCATCACCTGCCATCACGCTGACTCATCATCACCTGCCATCACGCTGACTCATCATCACCTGCCATTTCGCTGACTCATCATCACCTGCCATCACGCTGACTCATCATCACCTGCCATCACGCTGACTCATCATCACCTGCCATCACGCTGACTCATCATCACCTGCCATCACGCTGACTCATCATCACCTGCCATCACGCTGACTCATCATCACCTGCCATCACGCTGACTCATCATCACCTGCCATCACGCTGACTCATCATCACCTGCCATCACGCTGACTCATCATCACCTGCCATCACGCTGACTCATCATCACCTGCCATCACGCTGACTCATCATCACCTGCCATCACGCTGACTCATCATCACCTGCCATCACGCTGACTCATCATCACCTGCCATCACGCTGACTCATCACACACCTGCCATCACGCTGACTCATCATCACCTGCCATCACGCTGACTCATCATCACCTGCCATCACGCTGACTCATCATCACCTGCCATCACGGTGACTCATCATCACCTGCCATCACGCTGACTCATCATCACCTGCCATCACGGTGACTCATCATCACCTGCCATCACGCTGACTCATCATCACCTGCCATCACGCTGACTCATCATCACCTGCCATCACGCTGACTCATCATCACCTGCCATCACGCTGACTCATCATCACCTGCCATCACGCTGACTCATCATCACCTGCCATCACGCTGACTCATCATCACCTGCCATCACGCTGACTCATCATCACCTGCCATCACGCTGACTCATCATCACCTGCCATCACGCTGACTCATCATCACCTGCCATCACGCTGACTCATCATCACCTGCCATCACGCTGACTCATCATCACCTGCCATCACGCTGACTCATCATCACCTGCCATCACGCTGACTCATCATCACCTGCCATCACGCTGACTCATCATCACCTGCCATCACGCTGACTCATCATCACCTGCCATCACGCTGACTCATCATCACCTGCCATCACGCTGACTCATCATCACCTGCCATCACGCTGACTCATCACACACCTGCCATCACGCTGACTCATCATCACCTGCCATCACGCTGACTCATCATCACCTGCCATCACGCTGACTCATCATCACCTGCCATCACGCTGACTCATCATCACCTGCCATCACGCTGACTCATCATCACCTGCCATCACGCTGACTCATCATCACCTGCCATCACGCTGACTCATCATCACCTGCCATCACGCTGACTCGTCATCACCTGCCATCACGCTGACTCATCATCACCTGCCATCACGCTGACTCGTCATCACCTGCCATCTGTTATAGTCACAATAGGCTTGAATGTGCCTAAAACGAAAGATAGAGAGCACAGACGGATTTCTGCACAGCGGCTTCAAACGTTGATAACGTTCTGCTCACAGCTGCAAATGACTTGATTCAAATTGGATCTGGAGCGTCTTCACGTCGTCTA